CGTGTTGTGATTATCATGACACAACAGACCACAACAGGAAAATGTGAGAGGTTTACAGAATGTTTAATATGTAGGTGAAAGCATTGATCTATTTGAAGAAAAATCCCTTTTCCAAGCGTCAATATTTCCTTCCATAATCAAGCTCTATTTCATTACAGTTTACATCTACATCTTGGAAATGGATTGATTTCATAACTTCATTTCAATTTAATTTTTCTAAATTATTGATGCACAATGAGAAAAAATGAGTAATATGAGAAGGAAACAAAGCAACATTTTCATTTCCCAATGTCTAACGCACACTTTGCTGCAATAACCCTCTCTCTTGAAGTCTAGTGGCCGACAAGATTGGGAGTAGATATCGATGTGACAGCTGGGGCAGAAATCGTTCAGAATCTAAAGGTTATTCAAATAAATCCAGAAGGCGCGCTCTAGCCTTGAGCGAACAGGTTTCTTTTCTCTTCCTTTTCATTATTTTTCTTCCAGGTTGGGTCAATGTTCTAGATCTGCTGCTTCTTGCAAGCCTCAACAGTGACATTTTCGGCGACATGAAGACACGAAGAGTGCCTCTATTTTCCAATACATGTAGCTGTTTTTTCACTGCCCATTTTCGTTACATTTTATAAGTCTATATCAAGTATTAAAAGGATATCGTGTTATGACACGCTTCGCAACTGCATGGAGTCCAATGTGGTATTTTTGTTTGGTTTAGTAAGAGTTTTACGGCCTTCGCAGCTAAGGTCATATGAGCGCGCTAATGAAGTACGAGCAAAGGTGATAAAACACATGTCGTAACATGCTTCATATCAAATTCCCTCGTTACTGAGATGTTATTCAGATTGTACGTGTGTAATCATAGTTTAAGTCAGAGACGTCATAATTCTTCCATCTTAACCATCCTGTATAAGTATTCATACGACTTAGAGTATGCATCAGAATAACATTGAGGGTGTATCTAGCTTAAGATTATTATTTTTTATATTGCTGCTCATGTATATTATGCATGTGATTGTAAGC